TTCAGTAAAATCCAAACAGGAATTTGTTTCTAAATCGACATCAAATGTGTTGATTGCTCTCTTATAATTATTCATTAACTCTTTGAGACCGCAGTGGACACATATATTGTCCGACCAGCAGCAGTCAAAGGACAATGTTGAAGGCCATTTTAAACCCTCATAGACAGATCAGAATCACAAGTTTGCATATATATTTAATAGAAAGTGCATTTTGTTGCTTGACTTTTAAAGTTTCAGATAAGGAAAAAGAATGAAAAAATCTGTATGAAGAATGAAAATGTGTCCTAAAACAACGTGTCTTCAAGCTTTGTAAAATGACGAGATTGCGTGTCCTCAATGAGTTAAGCTGGTACCACTCTTTCTTCTTTTTCTGGTTCTTTTTTATTTGGTACCCCCTGCTCCCTCTAAATCCCTCTCTCTCTATTGGTATAAGATTTTTTTTCAGTAGCTTGTTCTTTTTTTAGGGGGGGGGGGGGGGGGGGCGGGGGGAGGATTTTGCTTGCTTACAAATACCTGGTGCTCATAAGAAAGATCGGTTCGGTTTGGTCTTGGGGCTAGCCAGAGTTTTTCCCATGGAGGGAGAAAAGCTACCATCCTGGCACAAACCGAACGAAACCAACGTTAACCTTCAAGAGCAAACATGTATGTTTTCAAGGCCACGAGTTGGGCGATCGGTTTGAGGCGGGGTCTATTTATAGTCTGCACTGAAACCACCAGAAACGTAACTGAATTAAACCGTACCGATCCTCCAATAGGTACCGCCTATAAGAGAAAATTGCGTTTTTAAAAATTCCTCCATAAAATTTAATAATGTACACAATGAAGATTAAAGGAAATTGTTTTTACTGCTTCGGCAGGAATGATGCAGTCTCACAAGGAAGAAAGTGAAATCCCATGGCCAGGGGTTGAAGATTTCCTGATCTTCGCCGACACTCTTAAGCTGAGATGTCAACAAATTGAAGGGGCTCAAGGAGTAGGGAAACTGGAGAGAAAGATAAAGGCGGAGACAAAGTTCTTAAATCACGTGAGTATGCTTATTGAATTACCAGTGTTGTGTTATTTAAATGCTTTGTAAATCAATGTTGGCAGGATGTAGTGGAAATCATCAAAGTGGCTATCTAATAATGTTATCAGATCCATATTTCCATCCCACTTTGCTGTTATGTTGGTGAAAAGAAATGTTTTTGTCTTTTTATTTGTTTAGTTATAGTGGCTGCTGGTGATTTTGACTATTTGATGTTTTCTTTGTTAAGTTCTTTTAACTGCCTTTTCTCAATTGTCCTTCTTAAAAATTTTCTTTGTGCTGAGTTTTTACATATGAGCTAATCTTTCTCCT